CCTTATCAGTGTAAGAATTCAAAGTTTATGAAGTAATAGAAAGAGGACTAATGAGCTTGGGATGTTTTTCTCCAGCCTGTCCTAATATCTGCCCATTTTCTTTGTGTCTGTGTGATTTCAGTTGCAGCTAATTTGCAGAAAATTGTGGAAGAGCCCCAGGCAAACAGATCCATCACTTTCAGACTGGTATTTATTCCTGTTCCCTAATTGATCAAGTTGTCCCTTGCAAGGAGAAGGCATTGCATGTAGATGTTTACTGCAGGCGTCTGATGTATGCACTCTAAATCCTCCCTTCTTTCCCAAAGCTTTTTACTGGTTGTGTAACTATAGGTACTGCAGACTACCTGCTTGTATCCTCTGAGCAGCACCTGGGACAAATAAGCATGAGATGATGTGCTAATTAATATATGTAAATGTTGCAGAGGGGTATTTTTGGGGCTTGGGATGTGCACGTGCAGAAATATTTCAAGGCAGGTGGATGGGCTAAGAATTGCCACAGACTCCTTTCTTGGAGGAAGAGAATGAGGGAGGGTGCAGATACATTGTCCCTGTGGAGGAAATGGAGAAATTAAGAAGAAAAAAGGAAAATAAAAGAGTGGTGGGTCAAAAAAGAGAGCCAAAACTATGAGTAGAGCAGGTGAATCTTTGAGGTGGTGAAATTCAGGGGGAGTTAGAGTGGCAAAGCAAAGGCTTAATCAGGTTATTGGGAGTGAAGCTATAAGTGCTCTTATTTTTTACTCTTCCTGTAAGGAATTTTCACTTGTTTTACCCCAGTTACTGCACATATAATGTCTAGTTGGAGCGGACATTGGCAAAACTTCAGTCCCAGCCCTTCATATCTTAAAAAAAAAAGCAAAACTACAAAAGCACTCAATTTTGACTTTGGGTGGTGCAAGCTGCTGAATGCAGTGCAAAGCTGTCCTGTGCCTGCTTCCCCCCCCACCATGTCTGATACACCTGCTTGTGGTTTCTGCTGGAAGGCAGAGCATGTGTGTTGCTATTTGGATCTCTGTTCCCTGTTTCAGGCATCTGGTGTTGATGGCTCAGAAATTCCGGATGATGGCAAACTTATAGGATTTGCACAGCTCAGCATCAGCTAAACATTGGATCCAGGAGATGTTTCCCAACAGAGAACCCACATGTGCATATTCGTAATGCTTCTGTTAGCCTAAAAAAAAACCACTACTGCCAAAGAATTGAACTCCAGCCCCCTTCCTAGAAGCTTTAACATTTTCCTTAATAGGATCACAAACCTTCCTGAAATTACCGATGACGTTTACACCTTTTGTAAACAACTCTCATGTTTTTGTATCTGTCATCTCAAACATGCAGACCCAACACGTCATTGCCTGCATGTTCATTTTATTATTGCCTTACTTTAAAGAAAAATACTACTGAGTACGAAGCAGGGGGTTCCACTGCTCTGATGATCTTGCCTAAGTGTTTGCTTACATGTGGTTTCATTCTTTTTCACTTGCTGTTTTTGCACAAGTTTTAATACTGAACGGATTTTTTTTTTGTTCTTTACCTGCTTCTCCTTCTATCTGAAACACCAATGTACACGTTGTTTGGGTCACCTGGAATGCTGAGAAATCTGCTTCTCTTTGGCTGTGTGTTTTAAAACTGCTGGTTTGAGTGCTTGCACCTGAGAAAGCAAGCAGAGTATTACCCCACAGGAGGGAGAACTTCCTTCCCTTGTGTTTGTGTTTTGGAGAAGTTCTTTGACTTTGAGGTGTTAGAAGTCAGCTTCCCTATGTAAACTGCCTTAATTTTTTTCTTTTTTCTTTATCATTTTGGTTCTCTCCACATGAGTGCCAGGCATGGCATGAGGGCTGAACCTTTTAATTTACATTCAGCAGTCCTTCATGCTGCTTTCATTCTGCATCTTAGACATAGTCTGTTCTTGAAGCAGACCAGGGAGGCATTGCTGCCTGGAAACTGGTCTTTCAGATGCTGAACACGATATCCATGGTCACAGGGAGACGAGATCTATGTCACTCTGCCTTTGGAACAGATGCACTTCCAAGTGTCCCTGAAACCCAGTTTGGTCATGCCTGGCTGGCCTCCCAACGTGTTCCCCAGTCCTTTGCAAGCTGGTACCCGTGGAACCATCCCTGTTGTGTTTTACAGCAATAAAGAATCACCAGTAGAGTGGCTGTGCTGGGCAAAAGCGGGCGCTGGGTTTGTCCCTCCTGCACTCAGTCCCTTGGGTCGTCGGGCTGCGCGTCAGCCCAAGCCTCGGCGTTTGATCAGGATGTCACTGCACCCCTGTCACACATGTATTTAGCTTTTCTTTCCATGTGCTGTTGAAGTTGAGTTTCTACATGAATAATATAAATTATGCTCTGAGTTTGATAAGAGACACTTGTAATGCAATATGTGAATAATAAATGGTGTTGACTCTTTTTTTTTTCCTACTGTTTCACAGTTGGCCTTTGTAACTGCTCTTGGCTCTGGAGTGTTTTCTACACAGAGGTTGTAAGTCTGTAATTTAACATGCAGGTGGAAACGAGCTTTGTTTCCATCAGACACAAACAATGCAGAAACAGAGCGGAATGACTAGGTTCAATTAGGACTTTTGTTCTGTTTCCTTTTTTTTTTTTTTTTTTAAATGTCCAAGTCTTCAGATGAACAATCTGTATTTATATTTTGTTCTCTATGAGCAGCTGTGGAAGCTTCCTGAATTGTGCATGTTCTTTTTTGACCGCCCCTGTTGCTTGTAGCCTCTGGGTGGATATTGGGTGTGTCCCCGTGGGCTATTTGTAGCCCTATGGCTGGTGAGTGTGAAGGGGAGGGAGAGGAAGATGAGAACTGGGGAGTGAGATCATCCTGGGGTGCTGAGCTGATGCTCTCTCCAGCCCAGGAAGCAAGTGCCCGATAGCAGGGAGTTGGTGGTGGCAGCTGTTTGTTGCCACCATTCCCTGTTGCCTGACACAAAGCACTCCCTACAGTGTCCCCCACTGAGCTTGTTGGCTTGGGAAGAGCAGGCTGGCACCTTGATTTTCCCATCACCCTGTGCTCAGTGTGGATGTGTTGGGAGCCTTTAGGATACAGAGACAAGGTAGTTGTGGTACAGTATTATTTTCCCTCTGCCTGCATGCCCTGGGGACCTCCTCATTCATTTGTGTACTGGTGCTGAGGAAGGTTAGGACTCAAACTGCTCAAATGGAACAATGCAGCATCTATTTATTGTTATTCCCCATTTTCCCAAAGCCAGGACTTAGAGAGCTTGAGCTCACACTAACCCAAGGTTTCGTAGTTCTTTAATGGAGAAAATAAGTGAGGAAGAAGCTGATGGGTTTTGCTCTATGGATCTCCAGATCTTTTGGGTAGGGATCCAAAATATTTACTTGGGCTATTACAGTGCTAGACAACTGTCTTTCTGATGTTGTTCCAGTAAGTGCCAATGCTGTTCATAATTGTTTTCCAGTGTCATTAAGAATTTGGGTTTTGTGCAAATTTCTGATCTGAACCTGGAAGCAGGTGGAAATTTTAAGTTAGTTCCTACTTTTAAGGACAATGCTCTGTTAATGAAAATGGATCCTCTTCACAACTTTGGTGTATTGTAGATTATAATGAAAGATGTAAAATAGTCAGGCTTTTTTTCCTTTTTTGGACTTTGTATTTTACTGCATGTGTCTAATTTTTAATCAATAAAGAACAAATTGTCCATTGCCAGGTGTTTGATGTGTGGTTTCCTTGTCACTGGGTCGGTTGATGTGACTTGAGGAAGGGGTTTGTCTGAGTGGTGCCTGCAACCCCTGGGACATTTCTGTTTGGGGTGGTGGGAGGTTTGACAGCCTCAGGAAGACTCAGTGGGGAAAGGGAGATCAAGTCCAGGCTGGATGGGGCTCTGGGTAACGTGGTCTGGTGGGAGGTGTCCCTGCCCATGGCAGGCGTGGAACTGGATGAGTTTTAAGGTGCCTTCTGACCCAAACCATTCCACAAGTGCATCTCTGCAGGAGTTGTGTCAGAAATGGAGCCAGGAAGACACGCAGGATGCTGCCCTGAGAGCTTGTCTGCAGCTGAGAGGTTTGTTCCAAGCTCTGCATGCCCTGTGCAACTGGGAATGAGCTTCCCCTGTCTAGGAATGCCTCAGGATGGCACAGGCTGGTGTGAAACTGAGGATTTATACCCTGACAAGTGGTGAGAGCATGAAGTGCACTCCCTGCTCTCCTCCACAGTAATTGTTCTTTGTGGGTGCCCTGGTGAACCCCAGTGGGGCATGATGCAACAAACCCATGGTCTGTTTTCCAGCATGCTTTACAATGCCCTTCTCATGGATCTGTGAGCAGCAGGAGTATCCAAGTGGCTTTTGGGTACCTCCTGGACATCTCAAAGGAACCCCAAGCAAATGCTTTACTTACATGAGGGATGAGCTGAGCAGTGCTGAACTCGACATTCTCGGTGATCATTTTAGGCATTTTGGCCTCAAGCACCATTGCCCTGTGTCAAATTTCTCCATCCTTTACCCTTTCCCCAAGCCCTCCCCATATTTAGCCCCCAGCAGCCTGCAGGGTGGCCCAGAGCTGCTGGGAAGGGACATCCTGTGCCTGGCTTGCTTGTGTTGCACAGGGAAGCTGCAAAAGATGAAAGATATGGCAGCTCCCATCCCCTGGAATCACAATGAGGTGGCTGCTCTTCCTCATCTCTGGTTCTGCCCATGCTTTAACATAATTACCTTTATTCTTCTGGGCTGCTCTCAGCTCTGCGTCGCTGCTGGGCTCATTTTGGCCCCTCTGAACATGGTTTTCCTGAGTGGTTCAGCAGTTGCAGCTCTTGTAGTCCTTGTGGAGAAGAGTCTGTTCCCTGTCCATGCCACCTGGCCCTGGCAGAGGGGGTGGCCCAGGTTCCCTGGAGCAGGGGTCCTTCTGCTCCAGCCAGCACTGGATGTTTGTGGGTGGCACAGGGATGATTAATATATTACATGGTGTACTTCTAGTGACTGCCTATGACTGCAGAGCTTATCTGAGGTTTAAACATTAATTCCAGCCCTCTGAGAAGTCTGTCCCAGCACTGTCCTGTCCCAGACACAGCCACCAATGTCAGGTGTCGGGGAAATTTTGAAAGCAGCTGGTGATTTTGGGCGATTCCAGAAATGCCTGGTGCTGCTCTCCGTCATCCCTTGCCTCAGTGTGGCTTTCCACCAGTTCTGCCAGCTTTTCATGGCTGTGGAAGTGCCTCACCACTGTGACACCAGCTGGATCCGCGCCGTGGGCCCCAACCTGACGGAGGAAGAGCAGCTGAACCTCACCGTGCCCCGCGGCGCGGACGGGCAGTTCCAGCCGTGCTCCATGTTCTCCCCAGTGGACTGGGAGCTCGATGCCATCCTGGCCTACGGCCTGAACGACACGCAGAAGTGCAGCAGTGGCTGGGTGTACCCCTCAGAACAGCCACCCTCCCTGCTGACCGAGGTCTGTACTTGCTGCTTGCTCTGCTGGGATGGGGAAGGGACGAGGCACCCAAATGGCCGCAGCTCCCCCAGAGCTGGTGCCTGACCGTGGTGCAGTTGGGATTTACAGCCGGTGTGGGTTGGGGACCTTGGCTCCACCATGAGGCCCCAGGTGTGGTCCTGGAGAGGGTGTGGGCTGTGACAGAGGTGCCAGTGGGGGGATGAATCACTTCTGGAGGGACCTCCTCCTCCTGGGTTTCCCCATCCCTCTGCATACAGGGGTTAACCTTTCCACTTTAATATCATGGAATGGTTTGGCTCAGAAGGATCCTTTAAAAGTCGTCTAGTCCAGCCCACAACATCACAAGTATTAGCTGAGAAAGATGCTAAATTAAGATAAGGGAGAGTAGGTTTAGATTAAATATTAGGAAGAAATTCTTCTCTGTGAGGGATGTAAAGCCCTGGCACAGGTTGCCCAGAGAAGCTGTGACTGTCCCATCCCTGGAAGAGTCCAAGGCCAGGTCTTTTGTAAGGTGCCCTGCCCATGGCAAGAGAGTTCAAATTAAATGATCTTTAATGTCCCTTCCAACCCAAACCATTTTATGGTTCTCTGATCCTTCCTATGTCACTATTTCCACTGATGTCCTCTGGAGGCTGGCAATTGCAGGACATTTCTTTAACAGAAACTGCTTGTCCCAGGAATCAGCACTGCATCCTTTCTCCTCTGGGAGCTCAGGTGGTCTGACAGGAAGCAAGCTGCTGCTCCTGTCCCCAGGTCCACCTAAAGCAAAATTTGCTGACCAGGAGGCTCCCCTGGCTTGGCTGGGCTGGACAAGGGGGACTCCTGCAGTCCCAGTGCATGGGAGAGGGACCTCACTGAGCGCCCCAAGGGTTTGTCCCACCTCTGACTTGCATGCCCTGTGCGTGCTGTGGGGATTCACATCCTTGGAAGAAGGAATACCAAAGCATCTGTTTCTCCTTTCTCCAGTTTGACCTGGTGTGTGACAGGAAGGACCTCAATGACATTGCCCAGGCCATCTACATGGCAGGGCTGCTCCTGGGATCCCTGATCTTTGGGCCTCTGAGTGACAGGTGAGGAGCCACAGCCCTCTGCCCAGGCTCTGTGCAAAGCCAGCGCAGCACTGACCGGGTAGTGTGAGCCTGTCTGGACTGTGCACCCTCTGCATTTTGTTACCTCTTCTCACTACCGGGACCCTGACCAAAGTCCTCAGGTCCCATGAGGACACGGCCACACAGGGAGGTGAAGGGAGACAGATACAGCATGTGTGTGCAGGGCTTTGCTTGTCACCCCACAGTCTACTCTGAGCCTTCTCAGGGTGATAAAAATCACTGTATAACCTGCTGGGCTCTTTGCCATCTCCATGGGGTCTCTCCAGACATCGATTGTGTCTTCCCTGTTTCTCCCCAGGATCGGCCGCCGCCCAGTCATTCTGATCTCCATCTTCCTCCAGGGCTTGTTTGGGCTGGGAATTGCCTTTGTGCCCCATTTCTATGTGTACATGGCCTTCAGGTGTGTTGTGGGGGCCTCCGTGTCAGGAATCACCATGACAATACTGGCCTTAGGTGAGTAGGATGCCCTTGCCCTGGGGCATCTCAAGATGCAATACAAAACTCTTCAAAAAAATAAAAATATTCGTGTTTGGCTAGAAAAACACCACGGTAAGGACAGGTCTTGATCTTCACTGTGCTTTGGTACTCTGGCAACTTCTCAGCCCTTAATCAGAGCTCTGGGGAGCATCTCTCTCCAGCCAGTGCTCAGAGGAGGGCAAGGGGACAGTGTTCCAGCACAGGAGGTCAGTCTAATCCTCACCTCCAGAATAATTCTTCTCCATGGAATCACCAGTTTGCCTCAGGGGAAATCATTTGGATGACTCTGAGCCTTCCTTCTTCCTTTCAGCTACAGAATGGATCGGTGTCTCCTCCCGGCCAAAGGCAGTGCTCACTTCTCACTGCTGTTTCGCCATCGGGCAGATGATTTTGGCTGGTTTGAGTTACGGGATTCGCAACTGGAGGCTGCTGGAGATTGCAGGATCTGTTCCTATATTTGCTTTTTTCTTCTGCATCGGGTAAGTAGGATGTGGACAGAGCTCCTGCAGAAATGACAGCAGTGTGAGGGGTGTGAGTGAGGAGGAGGCAGCAGCTCAGAACCAAGCTGGGTCTTTCCCCTCGGAGTGCGGGTGCTGGAGGAGCTCTGCAGAGCTCAGCATGTCTCCCTGGGCACTGGGCTGCTGAGAGCAGCAGCTGCTTTGCTTCAGGTCTCCAAACGTGGCCTTTGGAGCCTAAATTTAGGGTGTTTAGACCCATTGATCCCATGGGCCATTCGCTTTAGAGTAGGGCTTGATGATCCTTGTGGGTCCCTTCCATTGCAGACGATTCTGTGGTGCCGGGATCTGATTCTGTGGTGGCCAAGGCTTGCTGGACGTGCTGCCAGAGAAAGGGGCTGTGGGGGAGCTCAGCAGGACACAGCAGCATGTCCTGGCCTCCTCTCCTGGCAGGGTGCTCCCAGAGTCAGCTCGCTGGCTGGTGACCAAGGGCAGGATGGAGGAAGCCAAGAAGCTGCTGCAGAAGGCGGCAGCCACCAACAAGCGCAGCCTCCCAGCAGAGCTCCTGGAGCAGGTACTGGGGGTTCCTGTCCCCAGACACTGCCCTGGGCCTTGCAGCAGCCCCTGGAGCTCAGCTCATCCCAGAACATCTCTCCATTCCCACTGGGGGTGGTCTGGGCATGGCCTGGGGGGGACTCCAGCTCCAGCTGAGCTCCACAGGGATGAGGTCAGGGAAGAGGCCCAGCTTCTGCTGAGGCTCAGCCTGGAGCTTTCTGGGGTACACTGGGGATGTGGGAGGGACTGAAATGCTTGCCTGGCTTTTCTCCTGTGAGGATTCCGGGAGTGTGACTGATGAGCACAGAGTCTCTGCTTAATCTGTGGGTTTCCATGCAGAAATGCCTGAAGGGGAGTTCCCTCCTTGCTGATCACAAAGTTCCTCCACTGGGGAGATGTTCATCCTGAGAAACCTCTCAGTCCCCACCCCTGTGCTGGGCACCCAGAGCACAGTGGGGCTGCCCTCCCTCCCAGAGCACTGGGGTCACAGACCTGCCCCTCCGTGGCTTTCCATGGACTGCAGGTGGAGAAGGAACTGGACACGGGCTTCCTTTTCCTGCTCTGACTCTTTGACTTTCTGTGTTTGGAAGTTGAAGCCTGAGAAAGAGGTCAAGTCTGGAAGTTTCCTGGATATCTTTAGGAAGCAGCACATGCGGAACGTGACTTTAATCATGTTGTTTGCCTGGTAAGCCATTCCCTGGTGCATTCTTCCCAAACTTTTAGGTGAAAGAAAAGAAGGGATTGACAATTAGTTATCAAGAAATTAATCTTGTGGGGTTGTGTGTTATTTGAAGGGTGTTTCTGTTTCCTGGCTGTTTAAGATGCTTTGTAGGAAAGGTTATAGCATTTCCAGCTTTGACAGGCCTGTGGTATTCCTCTGGTTTTACATCTCCTTGGAAATGCTGTGGCTTGGTCAAAATGTCACTGGAGATCAATGCTCCATTTCCTCATAGCTGATACCTGCTCAGTGCCATCCTGCCTGGCTTTCAGGTTTGTGAACAGCTTTGTCTACTACGGGCTGAGTCTGAACGTGACAAATTTTGGCCTGGACATCTACCTGACTCAGCTGGCCTTTGGAGCAGTGGAAATCCCAGCCCGTGTTGGTTGTATCTTCACTCTGCAGAGGTTCGGGAGGAGGAAAACGCAGGCTGTTCTCCTGGTGCTGAGTGGCCTGGTGTGTCTGATCATCACCAGCATCCCTGAAGGTGAACGACCTCGTCCCAACGGAGAGGACATCCTCTGGGACAGGGAGGCACAGAGCCCCAACCCTTCCCTTGCTGGTTCTGTCCTCCCAGCCAGGGTGGCTCACATCCCTCTAGGCCTGAGCTGACTGTGGCCACATTTAACAGGTTGAACCCACAGGACCCATTCAAAAAAATCAAATTTTTTCTTGCTGATGGTGATAGCAGAGGGCAGAGCTGAGTCCAGTGGGCCCTCTGTCAACAGAGCTGTGCTCTGGGAAAATTAATCCCTGGGGAAGTGAGATGATGGATGCAGAGTTCACTGAAAGTGGCCACCAGGCCAGAGCAGCCTGGTCCTTGCTCAGACCCTGTCAGAGCCGATGGCTCCCTGCAGGTCACACAGTTGTCCCTGCAATCCCCAACCTCCATCCGTGAGTGGTGCTGAGCCCTCCCCCCATCCCATAGCATCTGTGTCTTCTCCTCCCCTCAGACCAGCCTGTGGCAACCACCGTGCTGGCCACCATTGGCAAGTTTGCTGCCTCAGCCTCCTTCTCCACCTCCTATGTCTATGCCGCCGAGCTCTTCCCCACGGTCGTCAGGTGAGCTGTCCCCACACATCAGAGCAGTGCTGATGGAGCAGGAGCCCACTTGTCCCCGTGGTGGCCCGGGGGTGCTGACCCTGCCCATGCTCCCACAGGCAGACGGGCTTGGGGCTGTGCTCCATGTCGGCACGGGTGGCCGGGATCCTGGCCCCGCTGGTCCGTCTCCTGGGGCAGTACCACCGGGCCATCCCCATGGCCATCTTCGGGAGCGGCCCCATGCTGGGGGGGCTGCTCTGTGTCCTGCTCCCCGAGACCTGCGGCACCGACCTGGCAGATGGCACAGGGGACGGCCGCCCCCCGGCTCAGGTGGGTCCCTGGTGCTGCCTGAGGGGTAGGGGTGTGGGCAGCCAGCTTTGCATGTGCTGGGGGTTTCTGTAGGAGTTACAGAGGTGGGAGGGGGTGGAGTGGGGCTGTCCCACTGTGGAGGGAGGGGAGGAGACTCCATAATCCTGCATGTGGAGGTCATCCCTTCATTTCTGTCCATGGGATAGAACAGCCAGTGCTTCCTCCCTCTGCCCTCCTCAGGGAGACGCTGGTGCCTTGTAGCCACATCCTCTGGCTTTCACCCTCTCATAGCTCCCAGCCCTCATTGCCCGTGGGACCAGGTGGAATTGCACCCCAGTTTGTTGTCTTGCTGGGAGAAGGTTGTCCACAGGAGCAGTCAGGAAGTTGCTGAAGGCTGCTTGTCTCAGGGACAGCTGCCATCAGCTCCTTGCACACCTTTCCTTGCTTTCACACCCTTTTCCCTTCCACCAGGTCTGCGAAAATGCCACCAGCAGCTCTCAGAATGGGCCAGTGAAAGGAAAAGGTGGTGGCCAGGACAACGAGAGCACGAAGACCACATACTTCTAGCTGGGGCTGCAGGTGGCTGTGGATAAAGGCAGCCCAGTTCTATGTGGGCACTGAGGACAGGCAGGGTCTCTCTGCCACAGGACACCACCTTTGCCAATTCTTGGGTTTCCTTGTCTTTTTTGCCTTCCTGTATCTCCCTCTGTAGCTTGTCCTCAGGCACTGCAGGCTATTACTGGTGTCCAACAGTGTTCTCACCAGAGAAAATTAGCTGCTTTTTACTTCAGGGAAAAAAGAAAGAAATCAAGAATTAGAATGGAGAAACTTCCTCTTTGTTTTTCGTGTTATGTTTCCAAGAAGGTGAGACTAAACTTTGTCCAGCGAGGCACACACTAGAGCATTGAATAAACTTGCAAGAGAGAACTGGGCTCACTAACAGGAGAGCTGAAGCAGATGCAGCACTGAAAATATTCTCACACTTGCAAGGAGTGATTTATTGTGACTGTCTAGCAAGATCAGCCTGTTCTTTCATAAAAACACTCCTTTTTTTTTTTTTTTTTTTTTAATTTGGGATATTCAGCTGAGAAAAAAAAAAAAAGTGATGGAAGAAACAGAATGCAGAGAGCAAGGACGTTTAACAGGCAGCGGAATTTTCCCTTCAGTGCTAGTGGCTTTGATTTGATGCCTGTCATGATGGTTTGGGCATGGAAAATTGTTCTCTTGGGCTGCAGTGTGGGGCCAAATTGATTTGTCCATTCCAGGAAACTGAGGGATGTTGTGGAAGTTGGTCTCTTAGAAAAAAGTTAAAATCTTTCTGGGAAATGTTAAGTCTTTTCTACTCTGTTCTAATCTATTCTTGTTTTGCTGGATCTATTTTGTCTTTAAAAGATTTAGGACCGCTTTTGTCTTATACTGTAAAGAAAAAAATGTGGTTTTCCTGTGCTTCCCTTCATATTATCTCATGCCTCTCAGTCCAACTTTCTTTTCCCACTGGATAGGTACAGAAGAAGCTTGGGAGTTGCACATGGTGGTTCTTCATCTTTGACTGTATAGCTCAAAGCTTTTTTTTTTTCTGGTAGTGTCAAGAAATGTTCAACCAGAATATTTCTTCTCTCCATTGTCATGCCTAAATGGAGAGAACCATTTTCCATGGACCAAAGTACCTCTTGGATATTCAGTGTGATCAAGACAGAGTTTTGGATAAAACCAGTGCCATGTGACATTGTCCTGCCAGGAGGGACCGGCTGTGGGGCCATTTTCTCTCTGGCATTGCTTTTCAGAGGATTTGCTGTGGTGCTCATCTTCAGCACCCTGAGAACAAGGGAGGTCAGTCCTTTGTCCTTTCCTTGGAAAAGGCTGGGGAGTGCTTCCTTCAGGCTTTTATGGAAAACAAGGCCTTGAAGGTGAAGGCTGAGGGAAGAGCTTGGAGCCAAATGTACAGTTAATGAAGGAACCTCTTTGGAAATTGTACTCTGAGACTCTCTGTTTTAACCCATTTCATAAATAAAGGCATCCAAGCACAGCTGATGTACTTCTCCTTCCAGCTCATTTGTGCCTTAAGTGGACTGAAGATCCATTTCATGGAATCTTGAAGTGGTTTGGGTGGGAAGGGACCTTAAAGATCATTTCGTTCCAATCCCTCCCTTCACTATCCCAGGTTGCTCCAAGCCACATCCAACTTGGCCTTGGACACTTCCAGGGATGGGGCAATGTCATGGTTTGGGACAAATTTGGGAGAAAACTTCCAAAGGGGTCCCTCTAGAAAGCAAATTCAAGTGGCCTTTCCCCAAACTGGTTCAGGAAAAGATTTCCTTGGCAGAAAGTGGAAAAACCCCTGTTTTTTAACAAAGAATTCACAAGCATAAAAAATGAATAATTTTAAACAATAAAACCTCTTGCTGTTCTGAAGAGATGGCAAATTTAGAAAGAACTTTTTGTGGGGTGTAGCTTGCTTCACTCAGTCTGTTATCAGTCCTTCCAGCTCTGGAAAATGCCATATCCTGGGCCCCAGTGGGGTATAGGTGTGAGCTCCTGGTGTTTTTCTGGGTTTTCAGTCCAGGGAAAGACCGAAAGAAAAGAAAAGCCACAGCCCAGGGAACATTCCTGCCTCAGCTAGCTAAAAGCAAAGGAGAGCTCTCTCCCACTGTCTGTGCTGCAGACAACACAGTCCAGGAGAAGGAGCAAGTGCAGCCTCTGATAACAAACTGAACTTCTTCTCCCCTCCTTTGCTCTCAGAACCACTCTAAAGGTGCAGAACTTAATATCCAGCATAAACAGAAGAGATGGTTGGGGTACAAGCATCATAAAGCCACCCTAGAACAGGCAGCTACAGCTTCTCTGGGCAACCTGTGCCAGGACATCACCACCCTCACAGGGAAGAATTTCTTCCTAACATTAAATCTGTATCTCCCCTCTGTCAGTTTTAAGCCATTCCACCTTGTCCTGTCACTCCATGCTCTTGTCCCAAGTCCCTCTCCAGCTCTCCTGGAGCCCCTCAAGGCAACAGAAGGGGTTCTAAGGTCTCCCTTAGGGGCCTTCTCTTCTTCAGGCAGAACAATCCAAACTCTCTCAGCCTTTCCTCAGAGAAGAGGTTCTTCAATCCCTCTAATCATCTTTGTGGCCTCCTCTGGACTCAGTCCAACAGTTCTGTATTATATTTTATCTGCTCTTCTCTGGATCACTGAATCCTGTGAGTCTGAATACCCCTGGACTGTGCACTTGAAGAGCACATGAATAGCTTGACCCATGTTTTGCCCAGCTCAGCACAAGTGGGAGGATGTCTAATGTTTTTGCAGTGCCTTAATGTCACTCCTAGCCAGCCCACACATGGCCTTGCACTGCAATGAGCAGAGGTGACAGCACAAAGTGGAGGCAGGAGTGCTGGAACAGCATGTGGGAATGCAAACATAAACCTGTGGGAATGCAAATACACTTTTGCATGCACACAGTGGGGTGTTCTGAGCTCTCATCATTGTGAGGCCATGGGCAAAGGGTAAAATGTGACCTAAGGAGTAACTAAAGCAAAGAGGATGATTCCATAGTGAAGGGAGGGAGCCAAAAAGTTGACAAAGTGATGAGGACAAAATGGGGTAGAGAGGTTTACCTGGGAAGAGCAGGTTTTCTCATTTTAGAGACAAATTTAGGAGAAAGTGCTCTGGAATGAGTGTTTCTGCTAAAGAAAAAAGGCTTCAGTAATCCCCTTTCCTGTCAATGAGAAAATGGATACCAGTGGGTGAAAGTGAAAAAAAACAGCTGTTTATTGACAAAGTGCCCACATGGCAAAGGAAAAAAATTGAACAAATGCTAGATATTGAACCATCAGAACCTCAACACACACCCCACAGCAGATCAAAAAAAACCCAAAACGCCAGGGAAAGAAACAGACCACCTGTGTGGCAGGAGGAACAAAATGGCACCAGATTTTTTGTCTCAGGGTAGGGAAAAAAAGTTCATGCAGCAGCTCAGGCAAAACATATGGGAACCTGTGGAACCTCTGGCACTGGTCTCCTCCTCACAGCAAATGAAGCTGGTGGATTTTAGTGGATCACTCCTGACTGATTGGCTCCTGGCTATTGTCTGATCTTGGACCAAAATCAAGACAAACAATTCAAGAAAAAAACCAAAAGCTACCAAAGATTGCTGCTGCAGTCTCTTCAGGCCAGGAAAAGGAAAAAAAAGAAACAAACCCTTTTTGCTTAAGCTAACAAAAAATGAAACTAGCTGAGCAACTGTCTTGGGGTGATTTTTTTATGATGCTCTGTTCTATGTCTGTTGTATGCCCAGAAATGGCTGCTGTAGCTTTTAAGATGGATCTGGGGAAAACATTGGGAGCCTGAGAGCCCCAGTGGGGGCTTTGTTCAAAGACTGTCTTGGTTTGAAAAGACAGGTGTCTACTAAGGAAGGCAGGAGGCTCTCTTGAAATGGAAAATGTAAACCCCCTCCCTCTGAATTATTATAATGGCGAAATGAAGGGGCTCTCAGGCAAAGATGTGGGAGTAGGAATAACAGTTCTTTACTAGGAAAATAAAAATGCAGTAATACAGAACAACACTGCCAGAGTCAGAGCAGGCCCTGTCCCCTGTGGGTCAGGGAGGTGGCAGCAGTCCCATCCCAGGGTGTCTCAGCCCACCTGCAGTGCCAGCTGTGCTTCTGCTGGAGCAGGGATCCTGCACAAGGGGGGAGTTTTCCTCTGGAGCTCCAGGGCTGGGGGAGATGGGCCTGGGCTCCTCTGGGAATGCTGTGGGAAGAAAGCTGCTCCTCTGGGAATGCAGTGGGAAGAAAGCTGCTCCTCTGGGAATGCAGTGGGAAGAAAGCTGCTCCTCTGGGAATGCAGTGGGGAAGAAAGCTGCTCCTCTGGGAATGCAGTGGGAAGAAAGCTGCTCCTCTGGGAATGCAGTGGGCAAAGGCTGCTGTGCTGTTCCCAGGTCAGATTGTATCCAGGTAGGAATTCTTGGCTTCTCCTCTGGGCACAGCATCTCCCATGGGATGATGGAATTTTCTCAGCCATGCAGGGACACTCAGTGGCCATGGACAGCAGAGATCTCCTGGAGGGAGGGTTGGTTGTGGGAGAGATAAAGAAAACTTCCCCACCTGGTTTTAACAGATGGCAATGGAATACACACCCCCAGCCACATCTTGCGTTGCAATTTAACACTCACTCCCAGGTGTGCCCACTTGGTGCCTTGTGGTGGACATTGGCAGGTATGTTGTTGCTTAGCTAACTTTTTTTTTTTGTAGCTTAAGCAAGAAGTTTCTTTTTTTCTTTCCCCACCCTTTTCCCTGATCTGCAGCAGTGATCCTCCTTTTTTTTTCTTGAACTCTTTCAGCTTGGTTTTTGGTCTGAAATCAGACAATCGCTGAGATGGACCAAAGCCCAGACCTTGCAAACTCCCTATCCCATCTCCAGACACGGCCAAGTTCCACATGACTGAGGTGATTTTGTGCACCAAAGCCAAAGCACAAAATGAGTATCAGCTCCAGGAACACCTGGCCTGGACTTGGGACACCCCAGCCCTCAAGACACCATTTACTAGAGCACAAAGAGACTGGAAACAAAAGGTGCAGCGAATCTGAGTGAGCAACCTTCTCTTTCTTTGATGTGCTTGAGGAGATAGATTCATCAGAAGGCACTGAAATACATCCTCTGCTGGCAAACAAATTAGCAGAGAAGAGCCCACCCTTCTCATCCTTTTGCATGACACTAGATGACACTAAAATGTCATGACTGAGCTGGCAGCAGCCAACTGAAAGTCACTGAAAAAGGCTCACCGTGACTGAGGAAAACTGTCCAAATGCCCACAAAGTTTGGCATTTAATTGCAGCATTCCCATGCAATTCAGAAAACTTCTGCAGCTGCCAGTAAAGAAAATAAATGCAGACTGTTCATTGGAAGACTTTGAAAAAAGAAAAAAGTCCTTATTGAACTCAGCCACTCTGTTTTAACACTCTATTTCTGTATTGTTTGTGTCTGATGGAAACAAAGCTCGTTTCCATCTGCATGTTAAATTACAGACTTACAACCTCTGTGTAGAAAACACTCCAGAGCCAAGAGCAGTTACAAAGGACAACTGTGAAACAGTAGGAAAAAAAAAAGAGTCAACACCATTTATTATTCACATATTGCATTACAAGTGTCTCTTATCAAACTCAGAGCATAATTTATATTATTCATGTAGAAACTCAACTTCAACAGCACATGGAAAGAAAAGCTAAATACATGTGTGACAGGGGTGCAGTGACATCCTGATCAAACGCCGAGGCTTGGGCTGACGCGCAGCCCGACGACCCAAGGGACTGAGTGCAGGAGGGACAAACCCAGCGCCCGCTTTTGCCCAGCACAGCCACTCTACTGGTGATTCTTTATTGCTGTAAAACACAACAGGGATGGTTCCACGGGTACCAGCTTGCAAAGGACTGGGGAACACGTTGGGAGGCCAGCCAGGCATGACCAAACTGGGTTTCAGGGACACTTGGAAGTGCGTCTGTTCCAAAGGCA